AGTGCAATTTTCAGTTATGTCTTTTCTTCTAAAATTAATCCTGTAGTAATCTTTTTACTCTTTTAATACAGTGAACAGTCACAGCGTACTGCAGGATAGAAAGTATGTCTGTACTCCTATGTGATACTTCAGTTATTTTATAGAAGATAATATGAATAAGCATACTCAAGTTTTCAAATGTATTGGCAAGAATGTGTTGTATCTTTACTAATCCCTTGAAGTGTTTTGTCTCATTGTGATCTGAAAATAGGAATAACCTTTGGTCTTAAAATTGGTGAGCGAATGGAGAAGACTATCCTTACAGAAAAAAGCAGCAGTCATCTATTAGCTTTTTCAGTGCCAGCAGAAAGCCTCATTTGTAGGTAATAAAAATAGCTTTTGTGGATAAAGTTCTTTTACAGTGAATTTGTATTGAGGTGTGTTATTCCCCGCTCCCTCCCCTGAGTAATTCACCTGAGAAATGGCTTTATGAAAACACGTAGAAAAAAACCCAACAAAAGCAGTATTTAATAGTGATGCTTTTTGTTGATTACTTGCTCTGTTCACTCCCTTTGGCAGAATTGGAAGGAATGGACTACTCCATTATTTCTGACACACAAGAAAAGCATCTCTGAAATTGCAGCAGATGTGGAAGAAATGAATAATAAGTATCACATAAATGATAGTGGCCTGGACAGTGAAGGAGGAATCTGACATGCAGACTAACTGTATTTGGCTCCTGACTCCTGTCAGATGATGGACTTTCAAGTAATTAATAACATTCTTTAAAATGCCTGCAAAATAATGTGTCATATGTAGAATCTGGATTTTTTTAGTATGAAAATGTGTACAAAGCCATTGCGAGCACTGTCTGATTAAAATACCTAGACCTTTCTCTGATAACTCACATCTTTTGCTTACTGAAAACTATTCACAAGCCAGAATATGTTTATTCAGCAGACTCCTTGGCTATCATGTTTTTTCCTCTTTGTTAGTAAAAATGATACTTGTTGGGTCACCAGACAGTCAATATGGGACGAGAGTAGCTTAAGCTCATTAGATGCTACTGGCGTGTGGTGCTTTTGTCCCCTTCCTTTCTCTACCCTCCCCCCGGTTTCCTTTTCTATAGATACAGAATCATCTAGAAAAAGGGATTGCTTTTGCTTCCATGTGATACAGTGGTCCGGCATGAGTGCATTTAATTTACCTACCAAATCTAATCATGTGCTCAGCTGCTTCAGGACCTTACTCTTACAACTCTGATCAACCAGATCTTGTCTGTGATCTATCTCACTTCATTCTTTCATGTCCTGTCTTCTAGTATTAATTCTAAGATCACAGTACTGCTTGGTTATCTATTGCTGATCATTTTCTTTCCTTGTCCCTTTTCTTCTTTCTGCTCCATTGTCCTCTTCTCACAAAAAGCCTAGTCCTTTTTCTTGCTTACGGTATTGTACTGCCATGAATTTTAGATAGCAAAGGTTCTGCAAAATTCAGCTAGCTTCAGTTTTTCCCTTCTTTCTCAAAACCTTTTATTATTCCCATGTGTAAATGTGCTAGCTTCTTTCATTTAGCTGGACCCCACAATGTAGCTTATTTTCTACAAGGAGGGCTGAGATGCGCATCAAATATTTCCCTCCATTGGTTGTCTTAGAGATGGTGACTAAGCTGCCAGTTGCTCTCTGCAAGTCTCATCTCCCCATGGGGCTATATTTGCTTATAGGTACTCAAATCTATTATCTTTGTGCATTATTCTGCCTCTTACTTTAAGCCTCTTCTCATTTGGCTCCATTAAATCTTTGTACAAACATGGTCTATTTTCCATATTATGTAATCTGTATCTACTAGTTCTGATAATCTTGCTGTCTCTAATTACTGGCTTTGTCTTCATTTCCTCATTTTATTGGCTTGGGTGCACTGAATTCCTTTTACCAGTTATATTCCTGGATTTGTTGTCTCTCAGCTCCAGCAATTTGAAAGACCTTTTTCAGCGCTTTCGGCTGTTTTTAGTGACCCGTATTAGTGAGAATTGTTAATTCACTCACCGAAGAGCTAAAATCTGCATGCTGTGTATCTTCAGATATATTAGGCAGATCAAAATAACTCCTGAACGTTCATGGCCTTTCACTGCATGGTCCTACTGGTCTTCATATTTTTGTGATACAGAATTACTACTCTTAGGTTTATTACCTAGAAAGAATAACTTGATTTTTTTTTATAAGTGGCATCTTTTCATGTAGGTACTTACTGGTCATTGTCCAGACAAGACCTTGAGTGGTTTGATCTGTGTTAGGCCTGATTTAAGCAGGCGCCTGAAATAGATGATCTGAGGAAGTCCCAGCCTAAATGATTCTGTGACTCTCTGATGATTTTTATGTTTTGAAACTCTTCAGCTATCACTTTTTTAATGCACCCAGTGTTTCGAGATTGAGTACACGAGTAACATAGTCTAATGTGATTATTTGTTGCTTTTCTTGAATTGTCCTGGCCTGCCTTCAAGCTTGATGGCTTTCTAGCTTAACAAAATAAGTGATGAGAGCAAGAGTTATTATTAAGCAGGACAAAAAATATACGAGTAGAATTATGCATTGAAATAAACAGAGTTACAAAATGCAGATGCCTCAATCCAGAAATCCAGACCCTGATAAGCAGCTCATGGAGCTGTGTTAGAAAATGTTTTTCAACTTAACCGTGTAGTTGATGGACAGGAGGGAGTCACACAAGGCATTTTTGGTGCTGGTCCTCGTGTGGGAAGCTGTGATTGCAGCAGTGTGTCAGGCAGGGAAGGGGGGAGCTCTGGCTGGTCCAGGCAACCACTGGAGGGCGTCTGCAGCCGCAGAAAAGCTCCTCGCTTGTAGGCTTATTTTTTAGGTAAAGGGAATTTAAATGCCCAAATCACATCTCTTGTTTTGCATTCTGGTTTGATCTGTTAAGAATCTGTGGGAAGGAAGTACAGATTTTGCAACAATTCAGTGTTTTGGGTTTCTTTTTTTCGGGGAATCTTGCCGTCATGTCCATAAACATCAGCGTCACGTGTTCTGTAATGGGTTTGCCTTTTGCCTGAAAATTTATAGAATTTGTCATCAGTTGTTTCTTAAAATAGATATGATTTCAGTTAAATGTGCTGAGTCACAGTTTGAAACATTGTCATATTATTAATTGGATTGAGAGTCTTGTCTCATGTCCAGTGTTTTCAGAGATCTTGTGAAAGTACATGAGTTCTCTTTTGGTTTAGTGAGTTCTTTGTTCCGTTCTGGTAGAGTTTTGGGTTTCCTTTTACCTCTGACTCCCCTTGCAAAGGGTTAATACAGTTGGCTGGTTTCCACTCATTTTATTGGAGATTTTATGGTAATTCAGTCTTCAACTGCCTAAGGAAAGATTAGAACCTTTCCTGTTGCAGATTCACTTGGAGTTCAGGTGTACTTGCTCTTCTTACCTTGTTGAATAAGAGCTTTTCTGGCTGCTGTCTGTCCCTGGAGAATGGTTTTCATCTCTCAAATAAGTCTATATAGCTTTTATGGAGAGAGACCCTTTTATCTTGCAGGTACCTTCGAGCAGCATGTTAGGGAGATGGGAGCATTTGCTAAAAAGAGTGATGGAGTTATGATTTTTAGATTGTTTTTTTCCCCTGCATCTTTGTGAATATAAGGGATTCATGTTGATCAATTGGTTTGAGCTCAGGCTTAACACCCTTAAGAAGCTTTCCCAGGCTAAAATAATGCTCAGTTGTAAGCATTTGTACATTGCTACTCCTCATGTAGAGGTAGCAAATATGTACGTTTCGGGAATATGCCAGTTGTAGGCATTGTAGCTGTGTACATTAATAAGCAAGGTGGTGAGATTCAGAAGAGATTTCTTCCATAGCAACTGATTATTCACTAGTTATTCATCATGGGTTTTGCTGCACTTTTTGGGGAGCATGTGAGACTAGATTTGATGAACTTTTTGATTTGATGTGACAGTTCTTGGACTTAAACATATATGAAATTGGTTACCTTGAGCATGGATATGATGATTATTGTGCTGAGCTCTCATTTATGATACTGTATTTCTCTACATCATGTATACACTGGACCTGGTAATACGAGTAATCTATGCATATGAATTTTAAAAATGAGAATGATCATCTTGCCTGGTCTAGGAACATAAAAGAGTTACTCTGCCAGATTTGTTTGTTTGTAATGATGGTATAATGTTGATATGGACAGGGCAGAACCCTCAGAAAACCTATATAGGGCCGATAATAGTGCAGTTTTAACCTGTTGACTGTTTTTCAAATTTGTGCAGGAAAAATGGGGTGCTAAATGATACTGTTATTATTGAAAAGCTGAAACTCCAGCAGTTGCTTTGACCATTTAAATTTTGCACAGCATAGCCTGAAGGAGTGGCTATTTCCCAATGGACTGGTATGCATGACACAAAATGCTCACCTTTTGTTTGTTCTCATAGCCAGCATGCTTTGGGATATGCCCAGAGGCTGTGATGTTTCCTCAGGAGGTGTGCTTTGAGAGAAGAATGGGGGCCTGTTTGTAGAGTTGAGGAAGAGAAGTGTGTGATGTTGCTGTCCATGGTGTGGATGCTACAACAACACAGCCTGTGGGGTTTTTATGTTGGCACAACCTCTTAGAAATAAACTCATCTGGTTCATGTTGTTATTAATGATACTATCTTAGGTCCAACTCTTACTTGTTTTAAACAGTGCAATACCTCTGAGTAATTAGTGTGGGTAAGGCTCATGCTGTAGGTTGTTAACAGATTGCTAAAGTGAAAGCTGTGATTTTTCTCTCTGCTTTTGCTTTAATAAAATCGGTGATTCATCAGTCAGGTTTTCTTGGTCTTTTTTGTAATGCATGCTAACAGATACTGAAGTATTTTGGTGATAGATATTATAAGCAACACTTTTTTAGTAAAACTTGCATGAAGTACATTATTAGTGGGGACATCTATCTGAATACTTTGTAGTTTTTGACATTTCTGTGTAACTAAAAATATTCTCTATCTTTTTGTCTTAATATAGCAGTGTAAGACTGGAAACATCTGGGCTGGATGGACTTTAGCATCAAAAGAAGTTCTCAACTGTTAACTCGAAAAATAAACTACATCAAAATGAAGCAGGTACCAGAGATCCTTGGAAATACCAATGGGAAAACTCAGAATTGTGAAGTGAATCGCGAGTGTTCTGTCTACCTGGGCAAAGCACAACTTTCTGCCACTCTACAAGAAGGTGTCATGCAAAAATATAACGGCCATGAGGCTCTTCCATTTATTCCAGCTGATAAATTGAAAGATCTGACCTCTCGAGTGTTTAATGGCGAGTCTGGGGCCCAAGATGCCAAGCTGCGCTTTGAACCCCAGGAGATAAAGGGAGTCGGAACACCACCCAACACTACTCCTATCAAGAATGGCTCTCCAGAAATTAAGCTGAAAATCACTAAAACCTACATGAATGGAAAGCCTCTTTTTGAATCTTCCATTTGTGGAGACAATGGTGCAGATGTGTCTCAGTCAGAGGAAAATGAACAAAAGCCAGCAAACAAGGAGAGGAGAAGCAGAAAAAGAAGCATAAAATATGACTCCTTACTTGAGCAGGGTCTTGTTGAAGCAGCGTTAGTATCAAAGACTTCAAGCCCCACTGAAAAGAAGGTAGTACTTTTTTTTTACATTCTTTCTTTCATTAGGTTTGCTAATCATACTGAAGTGTCATTTGTTCATATGCTAACCCTCATTTCACATATTTCTATAGGTGCTTTCCACAAACAGATCACATTCTATGATAACTCTCTCTCTCTCTGTCTCAAGGAAGGACACATACACTCTAGTTCTGGTCCATGTTTCTTGCCTAGGCTAGGAGTGCCCTGTAAATTCTATTTCTATGTAAGTAAAATAAGTCTCCAGAGCAATTCAGGGCGTGTGATAGCATGGGATGTCTGAAACAGAAACTTTATCCAGACATGCAGCCAGGATCTAGCCAGGATGTGCACCCTGGCGGGGGAGCTAGGGAGACCTCTTAATTTATAGGTGGCCTTTAACTGTTGGAGCATGATATATTCTGGCTTCCTAATAACCAGATGCTTCAGAAAAAATTAACTACTTCTATATTCATGGTTCTGAATTCAAAGAAAAACGTGCTCAGCTGTCAGCTGGCTGGTAAGCTAAGCTCTGCTGTCAGATTTTAGCAGTTGGAATGTGGTTTCTACCTTTATTTGTCATCTGAAAAGAGCTGGTGGATTGTATTCATTGAAAAGGTCTAGATACTTGCATTAAATGTCATTAGCTTTTGTGGTCAAGCTGTCTGTTCCTTGTTTCTTTTAAACACAGGCAGAAATAGAAATTTCACCTTTTTTAATTTGCTTTATCAAGTTGTAAATAAGAACACTGCTGGAAGCCCTTTTCCCCCTTTATTTAGTTTTTGTTGCTAGGCTCCTCTTAAAAGAATGTAGTTTGCTATCATTTTATCTCAGAGGAAGAAACCTACATAGCAGAGATACTTCTGTGTGTATTAACTTTCTCAATAAGTAATTATATAAGTAATACATGTAATTAGTGAATGCTTTGTCTGCTAAACAGGTCCCACCTTAAACACGAAATGCATGTTGTAAGTTTTCTGTCAACTGCAGGTTTACTAGTTAATCATAGTATCATTTAGGTTGGAAAACACCTTTAAGATCATTGAGTCCAACCATCAACCCAGCACTGCCAAGTCCACCACTGATTCTTGCTTTCTCCCAAAGTCACACACGCAGAGTTACCACACACATTACTGATTTATTATTATTTAAACTACTAAATGAATGAACTGACAGAAGTGTATGAATATTATTCTGAGTATCAGAAATATTTAGCATTTATTTATGATTTGAATGTGTTACTCGTCCTATACTGATCCATACTGATGTTTTCAGGAATTTTATTAAACAGTTTGTTTTCCTTAATTCTTTAAAGGAGAATATTTCAACAGAAATTGGTTCAGACTTTTCCAAATCGCTACTCAGAGGTAAAAAGTATGGGCGCAGCCAATAGTTGGAGTAATTCTTTGCCCTGTTCATGATTAAATTGAACTAAAAGGTGATGTATTTACTAGCATCAATGACTAGCTTATTTGTGTGGCTTTTTTTTTATTACTGTTTTTAGAAAAAGGAAGTAATAATTAATAACCCCATATACACAGTTTTTTCTGAGGCGTTTCACGTCAGTTGATTAAGGGTGGCCCTTATTTTTTCCTGGTTCATTTAAGATTAAAATAAAGGTTGGTCTGGCTTCTTCAAGTTCTCTTTTGGCCAGAAATAGTCAGGAGAAAAGCCTGTCAACACTGTTTCCCAGAGTGCTTGAGACTTGGTGGCTGTCTCACCCTGTAAGTGATAAGGTTATTTGCTCATGTGCCAAATCACTGAGCTACCAAACTACCAAATTGGGACAACCCCCTGCTTACAGACTTTGCAATATTATAGCCCTATTCTTCTCAGTGCGCTTGAAACAGGGTGTCAGGCTTCTGGCTTTTTCCCCCTCCCTTCCTTCATAGTGCACTTTAAAGCACAAAGGGCAAAAGAAAAAGCATTTGAAAGTCACAAGATGTTGTTTTATGATATAACGCATTGATCGTAGAAAGTCTGGGGCTTTTCTTTGTCTCACAGACAGGGTTTGCAACTGAGAAGGTTTAAAATAAAGAAAAACATAATACTGGGGAACATGCTGAGGGAGGTTTTTCAAATGTTTATCCACATGTAGACTAGTGATACACGTGTTCTCTGTGATCATAACTGTAATGTCTACTAGCAGTGTTTGAGCCCCTGCTGTAGCTGTCATTTCCTTGCCAGCAACCAAAGCCTTAATGTTAGTGCATCGTGGTGTGGTTTTATGTAGCTGATTGTGGCTGCAAAGTGGAAGTTAGAGAAATAACCTTGGAGTAAAAGCTGATTAATTTTGCACATAGATGTCTGTTTATTGTAGGTTGCAGGTTAATGTAGAACCTGTTTGTCTGGTTTTATTTCTGGGCAGGTTTCTCTCTCAATTTCTTCTTGTCCAAGTTCTTACTCTTTGATTTAGCAAAAATCACCATGGTTCAAATACTGCCTTTTGTGTAGGGTAATTATATCTCATTTTGATGGACATAGCTGATTACTATCTTGCTGAGGTGAGAGGCATATCATTTAACAAATGTTCCAGTGCTCTGTTGTTGAGTTTTCTTGTTGTTTGGGCATTTTTCATTAACGTAAAAGAAGGCTGTTTTAAATCTTTTGTATGCAAGTCAGTTTTCAATTGGGAATAAACGTGATCTGCCCAGCTCTGAGGTGAGTTAAATTACTGTTGATAACCACCACCTTTTCCAGGCCTTGGAGAAGCGGCTGTACTGCTTTCATTTTCCCAAGGCAAAGGAGAGGAAGTGGGACAAGCCATGGCTCTTTCCTCCCTCCCCTCCTGCCTTTCATAGGTTCTTCCTGGCCCCAAGTGTCTCTCCACCTGAGGAGTTTACTTGAAACCCCAGGCCTCTTCTGATGAGACCTGGTTGAGCAACTTTTATGCTAAGGCTCTATGCTGATAGCAGTCTGGCACCACCTCCAAATGTGTTCTGTGTTATGGGTGGTAGGTATCACATGTTAGATATTTGAAACAACACCAGACCCACAGAATGGTTTGGGTTGGAAAGGACCTTAAGATCATCCAGTTCCAACCCCCTGCCATGGGCAGGGACACCTCACACTAAACCATGTCACCCAAGGCTCTGTCCAGCCTGGCCTTGAACACTGTCAGGGATGGAGCATTTACCACTTCTCTGGGCAACCCATTCCAGTGCCTCAGCACCCTCACTGTAAAGAACTTCTTCCTTACATCTAACCTGAACTTAACCCTGTTTAAGTTTAAACCCATTCCCCCTTGTCCTATTACTACAATCCCTGATGAAGAGGAGTCTGATAGTCTGATAGTTGCCCACTTGATAGTGCTGCCCGTGAGAGTGGCACTGTGCCTCACTGCTGGATTTTGTGGTGGCTGCTTTTTCAGTCATTGTTTTTGTCAGTTCTTGTAACACTACCAGTGAGGAATGAGGAACTTCCCTGGTTTTTTCCCACTCAGTGGTTTTGTTAGAAGTGAAAGAATCCTGTCTGGAGGAGAATGGCAGAGGTTTACTTCATACACTAATACGAAGTAATCCAAGTCTGATCCCTGGAGCAATCCAGAGTTTCTGTACGGGAAACAGAGTACATATATCTGCAGCTCTCATGCTGGTGGTCCCAAGGTAGGTCTGTGCTCTCTAACCCTAATAACAGCCCAGCATGTGATACTGGCACACTTGAGCTTGTTCTGCATAAGCCGGTTTGGGCCTACAAGTGGCAGTTTGCCCTTTTGGCTTGGCTTCCTGGCAGGACTTCCTAGCACGGGTGCAGTAGCTCAGAAAAGCAGCAGTGCTGTGTCCAGAACAAACCTGGAAGTCCACCCGCTGCTGTACTTACTAGTTTAGGGATTCCAGCTGTGTAAGATGTACATCATCCAAAAGCTGTACCTTCCACATAGCTTCCTATCCAGTTTTCTTGTAGCCTTCTTTTAGTAATAATATACCAGGAACTTGGCACTTTGTTACTGTTTCTGCTCAGTACGGAATGACTTTGCAGCAGCTACATGGGGGGCAATCACAAGTTACTGGAGGAAATCCAGTGGTCCTTGTAATGTGTTTTTGTTGCCACTTCATCTTCACAAAGAAAAACTGTTCCAGCCAAGTCCGTTATATCTAATATCTACATAATGTTATAGGGGCTTTTTCAGTGAATGGCAATGATTTAGAAACCCAGTAAGGGTAGAATGTAAGCAGTTTGAGGGTTATCTGCTGCTTTTTATGCTTCTATGCATGTTCACAGGCAGATGGGGATCACTGAAGGTGGTGATATTGCTCTGATGCTTGCATCTAATCAGTAGATATGAGCAGGAACCTACAAGTTTCCTCTGTGAGACTGGAGAACTGTGCTCATCAAATATTTGATTCATAGCTGTTACAGCCAGATCCTGAGGTGAGTTATTTTCAAAAAAAGTGAACAGAAAAACTCACATAAATGTGTCTTTTGCAGAAGGAGGAATTGATTTTCATTATCACTTACTAGGAATTCCTGCTCAAGTACGGTTACCGCACTAGTGATAAAATGTGCAGCTGAACAAGAGTTAGGTTCTGTAGTTGTAGGGTAAAATGAACTCGGTTACTTTTTCTCTTCTAATAGGCTGTTCTTGAGGTATCAGATCCTGTCTTCAGGTGAGTGCTAACATGGGCTGTCTGGCTGATGTTAGAATCCCAAAGGAGTAGGAATAACCCTCGAATGCTTTTCTGGGTGATCCCTTGAGGAATCTTCTTACCCCTTTTGGAAGGGTTCCTGAGCTACTGTTTTGTGTTAGCTGTTAGCAAAGGCTCATGTTCAGCTGCATGTTGAAAACCAGTTTGTGCTAAGCATCTCGGGGTGTGCAGCAGTGGCTGTTACTTTGAAACTTTAAATTGTTCTTAATGCCTCATTGGTGAAGTATTTTGAAGAACTTCTTGTAGGCTGAGAAGCACCAGAACGCATACAGTGTCAAGAGTATACTGGTTTGGGGGAAGATCAGAAGCTATGAGTATTCTCAGTGGCTAGAAAATTAATTACAGAAAGCTTAAGTATTTGTTCAAGGCT